CTTGTTTATGAGTTAATTTTTCTTGGATATTTTTTTTTAGGTACGGATTGATGTTTTTTAATTTCCTTATTTGTTTTATTTTTATTTTGTGCATCTGACGACCTCTCTTGAGTTTCTATGTTTTCAGAACCATTGTTGTTATCTGCCCCCTGTTGACTGGTAGATGAATCAAGAGAGTTAATTTTATCGACAACTTTTAATTTATTGATATTTATGTCCTGGCGCGAGATATTAGCTTCAATTCTTTTTTGCGGATTTTTTTCCAGATTAATTATCTTATCTTCCAATAACGTTTTGTTTTCAATTAAAAGTTCATTTTTCTCTTCTAACTCCCTAATGATTCTCTTGAGGAGGATATTTTCATTTAATAATACATCCATACTTAGGGATGGTTGTGATGGTGTTTTCTTAGGAGTGCTTTTCTTTGTTAAATGTAGAGCATTCCTCTATGGTTAGGTTTGCACAGTCACGATGAAACCAACCCTTGCACTTATCACATTGAACTTTGTATGAGTTTGTTTTAATTTGTGATGAACACACGATAACAGTTGGAGATAGCGGCGGCACCATTGCAACCTTATGAAATTGTCCCCTGAATCCGAAAATGTCAAAAATTTAAAAAGTTAAACAGTTTTTGAGATAAAGGCAATTTCCCATTTAATATGGAATTTACTATATCTCAAAAACTGCTACTAATTTTCGGATTCAGGGGACAATTTTACATAAGAATTGACTGTTAAATTTTGGGATACCATGGTACAAGTGAAAAAGCACCCACTAATAACTGTAGTCATTAGTCATTTTTGACTAATTCATTTTTAGAGAGTAGCACAGCATTTTAAATAAAAACCTAAATATAGACCATCCAAAATGACAAAAATCCTCTTTTAATAGTTTTTAAATATTTGGGGGATTCTGCTGTACACATTTTTGGCCAATACCTTTTTTTTGGCCGGCGCGGCGGAGAAATTCTTTACGAACACTCGGTTCCTCTTTGGGCCCCGAGTAGTGTGGGACTCCGTCTATTGACGTATACCCACTAAAACTCCCCCGTTAGGTGGTTCAAAGCCCTGCACTGCGGTTTGCTTTCGCAATCCTATTGTGCCCTAAATGGTATTACTTCCATAGCTCTAGCTCCGTTGCTTCTATGAAGCGCAGTAGCCGAGGCAGTGGGAGCAATTTTAAAAGTTCTGGTGTGAGTTTAGACTCTCCCAGGTGTGTTCTTCTTAAGGTATTGAATCCCTCACATTGACAAATAATGTGAAGAGGTGTTTCCTCTTCTTCCTCGCATCCTCTACACAAGGGGTCATCTGTCATCCCCATTTTGTGAAGATGTTTTTTGAATGAAGCATAGCCTGTGAGAAGGCCTAATGCTTTCTTTAGTTGGGTCCTGGTATATGTCCTCATTGGTTTCTGCCCTTCAGCAGGTGGATTGTCCAATAGTGGTTTCGAATGCTCCAGACCAGACAGGCTTTCCCAGTATTTTTTGTGTTGTAGTTCTGTCCAGTCAATTAGTTTTTTCCTGGACGATTCTTGGCTGGTGCCGCATGTGGGTTCCGGCCCCATCAGCAGGGTTTCGGCTTCATCGCTGCGAAGTTTGGCTTCCACCTCATCGAACTGTTTCTGCCTTCTTCTTGCACAAGGATAAGACTTATCTGGTTTTGTGCTTCGGTTAATGCCGTAATATCTCTCAGACATTCTAGTACGGCCTTCGAATTGATTTCAAATGCCTCCAGTGCCTGGATTGGTTCTGGTTCGTGTGTAATGATGGTGAGCAACTTCTCCGTGGGATTGCTCTCCCTCATTCGTTGGAAACCCAATTGTATGGCGAAACCCAATTGTATGGCATTGATGCCCTGCTGAGATACCTCTTTTATGCCCGCAGAAACACCGGTCTTTGACCGTTTGTGTTCTACGTACCAGATTAGGTTTTCTTCTTGCCTGAGTCGGGCAATTTGGTTGTTTATCTCCTCAGCCTTTATCCTTTTTGAGATAAAAGCTTTATTGAAGTGTTTGACCTTGGCTTTGTCTGTTCTAATGGCTAGACTGCCAGTATTTTCTAGCTCTTCAAATATGGCATTATGTCTGATGTTGGAAATAACTTCGGCCTTATTTGAGATTAGTCTTTGGGCTCCCGCTAACGCTTCAGCTTTAATCTGAATGTGTAGAGGGGGGAGTCCTAGTATGTTTTCCATGACTGCGGTCGGTGTAGTTGTCATTGCACCAGTTATTCAGTTATCTTTGGATTCTGCTGAGTATCTGTTTTACAGTCTTTGTTTTTGTTGCGTGCCACCATATTAGCGCCGCGTAGGTAATTATGGGTGTAACCATAGCTGTGTACACCCATTGTACCATACCTGGTGACAGGTTTTTATGGCCCTATTTGTTATGTTTTCTATATGCATCCGATAGGTGAGTTTTTTATCCAGTATAACTCCTAGATATTTAACCTCGTCTTTCAAGGGCAGCGTTTCCCCGTAGAAGATTAGATTTTTCACGGGTTCCAACTTTCTTTTACGAGAAAAGGCAATAAGGGAAGTTTTTGTGGAATTTACCCGAAGTCCCTCCTCATTGCACCAGTTTTCGACAGCGTTTAGCGCTCTTTGCATTTTGGTAAACACATGGCCTGTGTTGCTGCCTCTGATAAGGAGTACAATGTCGTCCGCATATCCTATTGCGTATATTTCTTTGTTTTCCAATCGTGTCAGTAAACTGTCCGATACGAGGTTCCATAGCAGGGGAGATAGCACCCCCCCTTGTGGTGTCCCTCTGCACACTTTAGCTTTAACAGTTATGCTGTTAAGAGTGGTTCTGGCTCGTCGTTGAGCCAGCATCTGTTTGATCCATTTGGCAACCAGAGGTTCTATGTTGCGATCTCTTACTGATCGATTTTCTGAGTCATATGACGTGTTTTCAAACGCTCCTTCGATATCCAGGAATGCCCCAAGAGCCACTTCTTTGTTGTCTAAAGATTGCTCAGCCCTTTGGTTTATCTCATGCGGATTCGCAAGACTTGCCTGTTTGGTAGGCAAATTGATTTCGGTGTAGAGGCCTTCTGTGCAGTACTTCTTCCCGTATATGTTATCAGTTTTTCCTCTGTTTTCAGAAGAAATGATGTTAGGCAAATTGGTCGGAAGAATTTTGGTTTGTCATAGGAGGCTTTTGCTGGTTTTGGTATAAAAACCACCAGTGCCTCCCTCCATCCTTCCGGTATGTGATTGAGAGCTAGGCTGGCTCTTGGGATTTTGCACAGTCTTGGTAGCAGCATGTTTTGGCCCTGTTGTAACATGGCTGGTATGATTCCGTCAGTTCCGGCAGATTTAAATGGTTTGAAAGTTTTTATTGCCCATTTGACTTTTTCGTATGTTACTATTTTTCTCGATAGAATCCAGTCCTCCTTTTTACCCCTCTTGATTTCGAGTGTGGTTTGGTTTTGGATTTCTGAATTTTCGAGTATGATTGATCCTGGAAAGTGTGTCCTTAGCATAAGCCTAAGTGTCTCACTTTCAGTAGTCGTATGTTCTCCTTCTGGTTTTAGGCATATTCATAGGGTCTACTGTGGCCCTTTGGCCATGGCTTTATGCAGTCGGGAGTAGGCCGGTATCTCTGATAGTTCCCGGCATAGTTTTTGCCAACCTAGTTTTTTGGCCTTTTTGATGGCATTGTTATATTCGGTTAAGTGGTGTCTGTATAGGTCCCATCCTCCCGTTCTTTTCGCTGTGTTGAACATCTTTCTTGTTTTCTTTCTGCGGTTTTCTAGGTCAGAGTTCCACCAAGATGGGCCCTCTTTGGCCAATACCTTAGAATCAAAAGGATATTGCATATTTGCTCCACTTTTATCCTTTTTGCAATTATACCTTTTTGTCCTATAGTAGGTATACGAGGTGTGTTCAGAAAATAACGGGAATTGTTAAATTTCGCGGGTTCGGAGGGTCCGGTTGTTTGTCATAAAATTTAAATTATGTTTATACATGCCCCCGAAGTATGATAAAAACTTTAGCTGTTTTCATTGTTTACTTTGTCTGTGGTAGCCGCTAAGGTTAGACGTGTGGATCAAGGAATTTTTATCCAATTTTGCTTAAAAAATGAAATAAATTCTGTGAAATGTTAACAAAGGCCTATAGTGAGTCTGCTATAAGTAAAACAAGAGTTTACAAGTGGTATAAGAGGTTCCAAGATTTCCGTGAAGACGTTGAAGATGACGAACGCCCCGAACGCAAAAGCACATTAACAACCGATAAAAACATGGAAAAAGTGGAAGAAATGGTTATAAACCATCAGAGAAGTCGCTGATGATGTTGATATATCGATTGGCTCATCCTATGAAATTTTTTCGAATGTTTTGGGTATGAAAAGCGTGGCAGAAAAATTTGTTCCAAAATTGTTAAATTTTGAACAACATTTTTGGCCAAAAACAATACTGTCTGACTTTTTACTATTCCCAAAATTAAAGAGAACCTTAAAGGGCCGTCGTTTTGCAAGCATAGATGACATTCATTGCTGAAAAAACTAAAGGCTATCCCAAAGATCGAGTTTTAGAAGTGTTTCGAGTATTGGAAGAAGAGCTGGCACATGTGCATAATATCCAATGGGAACTATTTTGAAGGGGACATTAATGTAGACGAATAAATAAATATTTGTTTCAAAAAACGAAAATTCCCGATATTTTCTGAACACACCTCGTAGAATAGATTAGTTCAGGACACACTACATAATAATGCATTACATACAAATTTCTTTGCGTAATATTTTTGCACTACACTTCTAGATAAAACGTACAGAGAGACCAATAGACGCACAACATATTTTATTCAACTACCTTAAGGAATTTAAAGCCAATTTTATTTAATATTTTATATAATATATAACTGTCGAGCTGTTGTAACCCCATTTTTTCAGTTTTAACTTAAAGTTAATTTTAGCCCGTGGGCGAAGTAAAATTTCGCCTACCGGTTAAACCTAAGTAATGAAATAAGCGTTAAATAAATATTTTTTTTCAGTGTCTTTCTGGGTTTTGGCTCTGGACCACGATCTTCAATTAGCTGAAAATTCAATTGGAAGTATAAGTATTAAAGATCCTGCAGGAACCAAAGTGGCTATTTGGGATCAAGTCGCACTGGATGAAGGTAAACCATTAATAACAATTTTTTTTAAATTTATTAGTTAATTTATTTTATTTTAATAAAAAGTTATTCAAAGGCTTAATACAAATGGTTTTATTTTGGGATGTAAAAGTCACAAATGTAACCTAGTCACAAATTATTAATAAAGCATTATTTGTTTTCCATTTAACTAAACAGTTCTTTTAAAAACGTATAAACGTTTTAGTTTGATTTAAAAAAAGGTTTAGTTTAAACGTTTATAAGAAATAACCTTTTAAATAAATGTGAAACAAATAATGATTTTAAACATTCCACTAGATTAATAATTTACTGTTAAAAGTGTAATTATGATACATTTAAAGTGGGTAATTAAATCATTATAGTTATTTGTTTTACAAGTTTTGAAAAGCGACTTTTTCACGCGAGCGTTTATGTTGCTCACGAGGCCGTCAGGCCGAGTGTGCATTAATACGAGCTTGAAGAAAGCTTTTCTCACAAGTGAAACACAATGTTTTTTCTACGACCCTTTTATTTTTTATTATATTCAAATACAAAACAAAATAACCTAAAAACGTGTTTGACAGGTGTTAAAATTACTTTCATCTTATTCTTTTAATTTTTAAGGTACAAGTTACTTAAAATCAATAAAATTACCTTCTCAATTTAAATAAATGCATTAAAAATTAGAATTTATTATACAAACACAATTAATTGTGTATAAATGATATTTAAACATACATAAATACATGATATTTAGACATACACAAATACAAATTTTGAAACGAATGTTAAACGATGCTGTCAATTTCTTTTCACACAGACCTGTCACTTTTCACACAGAAATGTCACTTTACATTCATGGTTTGCCTTGCCAATGAAAAGATTCATTTTCTAAGCAACGATGCCAATACGAAATGTGACTTTTACATAGTGGTCGTAGAAAAACGTTTTTAAAGATTTGGATAAACGCTGCTATAATATAGCATATTAGGTCTAATGCATATTAGGTTTAATACATAGTGGTCGTAGAAAAAAGTATTTACTTTATAACCCAATGCGTTTTAAAAATGCGAAGTTTGACCATCACCCAATTGAGTGGGCACTGGATATCTGTTGTCAAGTTAGAGCAAATTATTCCCTCGTAAATACCAATGGAACTATGAAGCGTCAGATGTATACACCAAAAATTTTATACATCTCATATGGTTTAGCAATAAATATGTATTGTAAGAAATAAAGCAGTTTCAAAATAATAATTTAAAACTACCTTCAAACTACCTTTAGTTAGTTTTCTATATTGTATTTACAATGTTTTGGACTAATAAACTTATTATTATTCATATTATTTAAAACAAAATATTTTCTAAAAATAATTTTTCAATGTCAATATCAATTTGGCGGCACCTTTTGGCAAGCTGTTTTGCTATTTATTTTTTTTCTTTATAAAATTTGCCTGTTAACTTAACAGTGTTAAGTTAAATAGAAAAACGGCCTTCCATAAACTAACTATATTGCAGTAGTATAATTATTTTTAGTTCTCACCGTCTTTCTTTTTTTTTAATATCACCAAAACCAATTCACTTGTGCGAAAACGTTGAAAAAACTTGTTTTGAGATTTTTACAATATAAACAAACCGCTGTCATAGCAAACATTAATTGTTGTCCGTAGGGCTCGAGGGGCTGTTGCCTAATGAAAACAAGAAATATTCTGGATAAATATTTTCAAATTTATTTAACTTTCGAGTGGTATTCAAAAGATTATTTCTTGTCGTTTATTACAGAATATTATTTTCGCGAAAATAATGTACAGTAGGTTATTCCCACTTTAATAATGTTTTATGGGACTATGTTAAAAAAATTCTGAGTTATAGAAGAGTCTTCTTAAATAACATTTACAAGGTTTTAGAAAGATTGACCGTCTGGTTTCAGTTCAGTTGCTAAACTGTGTTGTAAATGTTGACAACAATTTATATGCCAAATCTAAGAATCCCAATTTAAAACACAATTGGTAATATAAAAAAATCGCAAATCAATATTAGGTCTTTATTACCTAAAATAATTGATTTTATTTTATGTTTTATTTAAGTTGTATCATTTTATGGCAATAACGGAAACGTGGCACTTTATATAAAGGGTTATAAAATTCTAAGAACTGATAAAGGAAGTCGTGTAGGTGGATTAGTACTGTACTATCAGGAACAATTTAATGTTTCTTTTGTTAAGTATCAAAATGTAAGTACTTTTGAACTGTTATTTGTAGATTTTAAATTAAATTTAGAAATAACTTCAATAAATACAATATACAGACCTCCAGTTAAAATTGGATGTATTACAAGGAAATGACGAAATTCTCAAACATGTCTATGACAAATGAAAAGAAAGCTTTTTTGAAGTATAGATTAAAAAAAATAATTAAAAAAAAGTTCCTTAGATGCTTAAATATTAATAACAAACAATCACCACAAATACCCCTACACTTCAGAATGTTAACGAAGTTAATAAATACTTTGGAAGTATAACGCGTTATAACGCAGTCAAATTTAGAAGCTGATATAGAGTTTTAATTTTTATCTTAATAACACTAGACCTAATGTTGGTAATTTCGCATTTAAATTGGTGTCTGGGAAAGAAATTTTTAAGATTCTTACAGCCTTAAAATCAAAAGCTATAGGTATATATGATATTGAAATAGCGATACTCCTGCTTTGCTGTCCAATCGTTGTTCCTATTATTACCCACATAATAAACTCTTGCATTAAAGTTTATTTTTTTCCTGATTTATGAAAAACTTATATTTTAATTCCAATGCCAAAAATCTCAAAACCTCTAGATTATAAGGATCTCAGACCTATCAGTATTCTTCCGGTTCTGTCAAAGGTTTTGGAAAAGGTGATGAGTAAGCAGATTACCAACTATTTAAATTTATTTCATATATTACCTACTGTCCAATCAGGGTTTATATCGGATCACAGTTGTGCTACAGCAGTTTTAAAAGTAACTAATGACATTTTGGAAGCAATTGATTAAAGATTACGGTGTTGGTACTTTTTGACTATTCCAAGGCTTTTCACAGAATTAATCACAGTCTTTTGTTGGTAATTTTGAAATATATTGGATTCGGCCATAACTCGGTGCGATTAGTTAAAAGTTATTTAAATAATAGATCTCAAGTGGTTAAACTTAAAAATATATTATCGGATTCTTCTATTATTACATGAGGAGTTTCTCAGGGCTTAATCCTAGAACATCTGTTTTATACTATTTATACGTCCAATTTTTATTCTTCAAATACCTTAAATGCAATTAAATATTTAAACGAAGATATACAGTCCTTAATTCAGCAATCTCAAAATTTTAATGATAAAAAGTCACAAGTTTTGATATTTGGAAGGAATAATTTAGTTCCAGCCTATAAAGCGTAAAAAATTATATAAATAATATTCAATTACAAATAGTAGAGTCGGCCAAAAATCTAGACAACCAATTGACCATATGCAAGGAATGCGGTCGATGTTGCCAATGGTAAAAAAAATAAAATTCCCTATTGGGAATATTCAATTATATTACGTTGGCTACACTGAAATTTTGAATTTCCCGCACAAACTGACATACATTCTAGTAGTTCCCAGAGATAAAGAAGGTAGTTCCAATGTTGTATAATAAATTAAGGTGCGAATTTCAAATGTGGGAATTATTATTATTTATTATTATTAAAAAAAAGATGGAAATTAATTTAGTTTGTGCGGGAAATTCAAATTTTTAATGTAGCCAACGTAATATAATTGAATGTTCCCAATAGGGAATTTTATTTTTTTACCATTGGCAACATCGACCGCATTCCTTGCATATGGTCAATTGCGATTCTTAAGTCATATTTCTTTATGCCTCAGAAAATCATTTTTAAATTTAAAACTCCTCTTTCCGTTTTGTCAAATAATTGGATTATAAACTAAGGAAATGCTCTGTTTTATCCCATTTTAATTTTGGAGATACCGTTTATAGTAATTTTCTTACTAGAGAGGATTCTAATAAAATCCAATTAATACAAAATATGTGTGTACGTTTTATTGTGGTCACGGTTCACCGATCAATTCTTCGTAATTTATGTGTAGTATCGTATATTGATAATATTTTAACTGTCTCAAAGTTAATATTTGTAGAATATTTTTAATTTGAAAGACTCATACGATAGTAGGAAACTCAAACTTTATTCAAACAGTTAAGTTGGCTTAAGATAGAGAGCACAGACTGTGATAGAGAGTATTGTCTTTACTTATTCTTTACAAGAAAATAGTGACTACTAAACTGCCTCAATATTTGTATAATAAAATAAAATTTAGAACGGATGTACATGACTTAAGTTTAAGACAATAGTATGGTATTTAAAAACCTGTCGAAACCAATTATTGTTATAAATTAAAAAAAAAATAAAGTTTTACTTTAAAAAAATAATTATCATTTTCAGCCAATTCGTGAATATTGAGTTACCATCAAACTACATGGCATGTACAGGGTGATCCCCTATAATGTCGCCCCCTTTTACTTTTTATTTTAAGTGTCCCAAAAAATTTAAAAGTGTGGTTATGTAGGTACTAAAAAATACTTTTTTTCTACGTATAAAGAAAATTGGAAAATTTATCAGTATACAGCAAAAAACAAAAAGTTTACTTTTTTTCAATGGATCACCCTATATATGTATTTGTTTTTCTATTCCTTGTAAGCATATTTCATATAACATACCATATACCTAAATTCAACTGTTTCTGAAATATTAAAATTATTTTTAAGATAATAAGTTGAAATAGTTTGTCTTTCTCTGTCTGAGTACGCCATTTTTACTTATTTAACAAGACATATTGACATAATGTAACTATAGTAATTTATTTTCAATACAAATTTTGGGATATTGAGGCTTCTTGATTTCTAACAGTTTGTTATATGAATTATGCTCAGAATTTTACAAGGAATCGAAAAATAAATTCATATACAGGGTGTTTCACATTCGTGGACCATTAGAAGTTTCT